TAAGAGAAATAGGTATATATCGGTTGATGCCAACATCTATGGCAGGGCATCGAGGAGAAGAACGATTCGAGAGGCGGAGAGGCCGGTGGTGGCAAGAAGGAAAGACGATGAATCCGCGTAGCCCTCTTACCACGGTGTCTTCTCGAATACCGTTTTCCTCGTCTCTTCAGGTTTCGCTTCGGCATCTCTACTCTCTGGCAAGAAGAGACATTCGGTGCAGACCATTACCCCAGTCCCGGGTGCCATCGGCCATCAGCAGCGCGTTAAAGCCGCTGCAATTACAAACTCCGACAGTCTCATCCCCTTTACTTCCACCACCACCGTTCCTCCCGGTCTCGCTCTCTTTCTCTTCCTCTTTCCTGGCCTCTGTCCACCCACGATCTTTCCTCGCTCCCTTCTTCCTATGTTTCCCAGCTTTCTCCTGTTTCTCCACGGCACGGCACGTTCCCATTCACTCTTTCCCTCGTTTCACCCTTTTCCCAACACCCGACCACTCTCTCTTTCCGTCGTTCCGATTTTCTCCTTTAGTCTTTCCGACGCCGTTCCCATTTACATTCGGCCGGCCGCTATCGTAAAAGTAACTTTGTAACCGGCACGGCCGGTACCCGCAGCCAGGATTCCAACCTCTATTTCGACGAAATTACACGTCGCCCGGCACCGCGCCGCAGCCCCTCCAAAGATTTCCCTTATCAAGCGACACTGCTAGAAATCCGGTTCTCTTTTTCTCTGCGTACGTATATACGTCGCGCCGGGTTCGGGAGTTTCCCAGAACTAAACCCGGCATTCTCTAATTCCTTAGTTTCCGTAAAAGGGCGCAACGAGACCGCGAAACTTCCGGGTTCACCGAAACTAGAATTGTTGATTTCATACACCGTCTCACTCGCTCTGACCGAATTCACCTGCACGCACCAGAGTTAAGTTCGACTGAGGCTCGCGACGTGTCTGATGGGAGAAACGCTGACTCAAGTAGATTGCTGTCAATTTAACGAAAAGTGATAATTTCAACGATTAATAAAAAAGAGAACTGCGTTCGTAAATTCAATTGAATTTATTTCCTTTCAGCTGCTGTATGATTTATATATAACTTTGATATTCAAGTACCTCACGAAATTCATGGGTATGAATAGTTGAAGAGTTGAAAGGATGGCAAACCTAAATATTTTATCAGTACCCGAGTATATTCGAGTAAAATTGTCGCATCAAAAATATCGGCCGTATAACCATTACCAAGGATTAAATCATAGTTCGTAATACCCGCGCCGGGTTAAAAGTGACGTGAATTTCCAGGTCAATTTACAGAACATTTAATCGGACCGGTGTGTTTGAAGTCAGCGTTTGCTCTCGTCATCGAATGGCATGTTTCGAATAGAGCCGATAATGCACGGGATAAATCTTGATTCAGTTATTCTACTTCAATGCCTTGCGTTTTCCCTCATGTTCGACTGCGTGCGCGTAAGCAAAAAGGTGAAGAGCTTTTCAAACACAATGGATACTCTATACATGCAAACTATGGAAACACTGAAATGCCGCTATAAACGTTAAAGTAAAATAATGCATTATACTCGAATTATCTATTAAACATATTATTGAACAATTTTCTATTAAAATGAAATTGCAATTCAAATTAGATGAGTTAATGAGACTGTAGACAAAATGTAATGAACAATTACCTAAATAACGTGGAACAACGACTGATACAATTAATTATTATAAATTTGTATGAAGTTCATTATTCAGAGATATTGGCACATATGTTTAATTCTTATAAAATTAAAATGATTTCAAATTAAAAAAAAAGAAAATAGATTACTCGTAATAAGAAAAATAATTAAACCGACCTTTTCACTTTTAAAAAATTCGTCCATGAAAAAGTTAAAGCTGCAAAGGAGGATAATGTATGTTCCAGTAGAAACTTTCGAGTAAACAAGGTTCTATTGCGCTTGGCACGTTTCCATGCGATAACCGCACTTAATAAGGTACTAATGTATTTTCCCAGCGAATTAACCTCTATAGGAACGTACCGATATATTTTTGGACAAACATTCTCCAATGAGCTATAAAAGCGAAGCATAAAAACTTCAGAATTCATCCTGCTTGTCACCCTTAATCAAACCCCCTGGGATGACCATAAAATAACCCATCAAACTGCTTAACACAACCCAATTAGAGTTGCAAAATCCATGAATCGCGCGAATGCTGAACGTGTCATAAACGACATGACGAAGGACCACGAGATCTGTCGAAGGGCGATAAATCAGTAGACAAAGTTTCATCGCAGAAATATTTCATCGAACGAATGGAACATAAATTGCTAAGGAGCCTTTCACGGCCGAAAGTATCAGAAGCAATAAACGAAAACGGGGTTTAAGCGATTTCAAATCTTCCTTTAATCAACATTATATTTATGGTTGCCCGCATGAGTGAAAAATCTGGTATATGAATCCACTCGAATTAATACGGATAATAAATTTTAATCATGTCATGTTTGCAATAGTGCTAAATGAAATTTAAATTCGTATGATGCTATTTTCTCAATCGATTATTATGGCTATAAGCTAATATGACCATTCACTATAAAATTTATTCAATCATATACATTTTCGTTTTTAGAAACGTATCGGTGCACGAAACCGATATAACAAAGTCTCGTGCCAATGAAATTCTTTTGAGTTACACGAGATCGAGTACTTAACTACGATCGAAAGCTAACTTAGGTCCTGATCGAACAAAAATATCAAGGGAGAGGAAAAGAGAGGACTGGAATCGTTCCAAGATCACGTTCGATCGGGCAGGAAGTTCGGCAAGTAGTACAGTAATTCCCAGGAGATTAGAGACGCGGAGAAACTAATTTATGGTAGTCGAAATTCTGCTTGCAAGCGTATACATGTACACAAGCGTCCGTTATACATATATATATACATATGTACGTGTATATTTATATACATGTACATGGTGTGTATATATGTATACACGTGTGTATAAAGTTCAGAGAAATGTTGTTTAGGAACGTTTCGACCATTCGCTTTGAGTTAAGTCGAAAGAATATGATGCGTCCACTGGGAAAAGCATAAAATTAAAGTAGACGGAATTACTAGTTTAGAACTTATAATCTGTTTAATACTTTCTGCAAATGGGGAATACGAACTCTAAATTGAAAGTCCATATATGTAATTCGATATCTTTTCATACGCTCAATTTCAATCTTGAATTTTTTTTTAGTTTTTTATGTAACATAAATATATTCTTTATTTAAAAATGTGTACTTTATGTTCAAATTTTATTGAAGTATGCAACAACAAAGGGACATAGGTACGCGTGCACTGAAAATGACAGGATTAAACACATGCCGCGAAATGTGAAATTAGTTGACGGTAAATCTCCTTGTCCCTTCACATTCCGAGTGCTCCATTCAATCATTCTCTCTTAAGTAGGATTATACCGGCACAAGCTAAAACAATGGCTTCTTAGGCGGTACGGATCAGACTTAAGTGGTCTGAATTTTGACTACACAAATGGATGCGGAATTCTAGTTGCACGCAACTGCTTTATTCGACGTAAAGCGTGGTTAATTATCCTGTATAACTCGCGATCGGATTTTTGTTCAATTTAGGAAAATGAGTCTGCAATTATATGAATTCACAGATAAAGTTTGTAAGGATATTATTTCATCCATGTTCTGTTTTTTTCCTGTAGATAAATTTATTCGAAATTCCATGAAAAATGTTTTATACAATAATTTTCTTATCTCATCACAGTTTTCGAAAAAGTTTCCTAAAATATAGTCAAATAAAATCGGAAAGATGAAATTGGAACAGGAGATTAATACTGAAATGGAACGAAACGTTAACGTAGGACGTTTAAACATGTAATATCTTTTCTAATGCTCTCCACGTTCGAAATAATCGTATCGAGGGAAATAACTTAACAAGATAGAAAGCGTGGCTGCCGGGAAAGCAGCTGACCTCTCGCCTTATTTCGTGAGAACTGCACCGCAGCTCCTTTGTAATCCCAGCACGCGAATCGAATTGAAGAAAGCCAATGGCCAGCAGTTCGCAAAGCTGCTAGCGAAGTTTTACTCGCGTTAGTTATACGTACGTGTACTAGCCCCATCATTCTTCGACCAACCCGTGACAATACCATCGCGCTCTGTGTGCTAACAATAATTCATGGTCGTTCAAATATTAACACAGCTTGCGTTTTTACGCGAATCGCCATTATTCGGTCAATCGGAAACAAAGCGAATAAGCAATAACTTGGATATCCAACATAAAACAAGCATAAAATAATGAGCTCGAAAAAAAATCGTAGGAACAAGTTTTATCCTTGGTCCAATGGATTTGTTGGATCACTATCGACGAGTCGTCGTCGTTTTCCTCGAAGAATACCAAAGTTAGGAATGCGACGATAATACAGGCCATTGTCCACGACTTCCGCATTTACCTGCTCGATCTACTCGCAAACGGGAGCGGGCATCGGCGCGGCGAGCGGAGACGCGGGCGGGATTCGGGATAGAATCGTTCCGATTCCTCTCACCTTGCTAGAACCGGGGTCCGCGAATCGAGTTTAAGAAAGTGCAGAGAAGCAAGCTAGTCAGTCAAGTTGAAGCAAAGGCAGGCAAGCAGGCAGGCAGGCAGTCAGCCAGGCGTCAACGGCGGTAGTTCGTGAAATCGCAGGATACCGGCTCTACGCGTCAGTACGCTGTCAGAGGACGCAAGCGCGCTCGCGCCCCTTATCGAGTTCGAGAGCAAAAGCGACGGCCGCCGGTGGTAGTAGAGATATATACGTACACGTCTATGGAGTCGTGCATAGGAATGGGTGGGAGGGTGATACAAAGAAAGAAGGAAAGAGAGGACGGCGGCGAAGCGAGAGAGAGGAGGCGACAGAAGGGTGGAGGGTTGTAGGTGGCGGCACACAGCGGCTTCGAGGTTGAAGGGAGAGAAAGAGAGGCGGCTCGGGGGTGGTGGAGGATGGAGACGAAGAGGAGAGAGGCGAATGCAGCTACGAGAGACGGACGCCGCAGTGTTTGTCAGTCCTTCGTATGGACATCACGTCTGACGCGGCTGATAGTCTATTCGCGCTCCTGGCATTCTCGCCCGTGTCTACGCGTAAGTTTTGGCGGCATCTATCAACCCGTTGAACCGCGACGTGTCCCGCGTCAAATATCCCGTCGTCGATGAGCCACCGGACGTGCCCGCGATTACTCGCGATCACTCGATCCGACAGGTCGACACGTCCCGTCGCCGTAATCGCCGCCGCGACGAGCAATCATTCGGCGATCAATCGGTCGATCGAGATGTGAAGACGCCGCATTGGAAGCGATGTGGCTTCCGTTGATACTGCTCGCCTTGATGGCGAGCGGTTCCGCGTGTCCAGATTTATGCGAGTGCCATCCGAGTGCCGCCGATAGAAATTCGCCGGCTGTTTTACGTGTGAGGTGTGGTGGTCGTGCGCCGGGATTGACGGAATTGCCGATCGAAACGGGGAGTCTGTCGGTGTACGGTGCCGATGAGTACGAGGTGATCGGTCTTCTTGACGAGCTCGGAGCGAGCGAGTCTACGAACGATTTCGAAGTGATCGGCACGCTGAACGAGCTCGATCTAAACGGCACGATGGACGACAACTCGGACTCAACTAACTCGACGACGATGCTTGTTCTCCCCTACCTCGAGGAAATGTCCCTGACGAACTGTTCGTTGGTGTTTTTGAACGCGTCGTGGCACGGTTTCGAGCGTATACGAACGCTGAACCTGTCACGCAACAATCTGGCACGACTGAACGACGTATCGGTCTACCGTTTGACGAATATGAGCGAGCTGACATGTTTCGACTTGTCGGACAACTCGCTGACGGACGTGAGTGTCGGGGCTTTTAGGACGCTTGCGGGATTGGTGAGATTGAGTTTGCGTAGGAACGAGATATCATCCGTGGACGAGGACGCGTTTCAAGGATTGATACGGCTGGAGTTCCTCGATTTATCGGACAACAGGCTGACGGATCTACCAGACAGCGCGTTGACGCCGCTTTACTCGTTGCAGAAGTTGGACCTAAGCGGGAATCAGCTACAAGTTCTGGGCGCCAGGTGGTTCGAGAGTCTCGACAGATTGAGGGAGCTCGACGTTTCGAGGAACGGTTTAGCGCGAGCTGCTTCCGGAACTTTGCAACCGCTTCCGGGATTATCGATACTGAAACTCTCGGAAAATCCTCTTAAAGAAAAGGACGTCTCCCTGCTCCTGGGTACTGGCAGGCGTTTAGAAACGGTCGATGCCTCCCGCACCGGTTTGGTCCGAGTCCCAGCCGCGCTAACGAGATCCGTGCGCGCCCTCAGACTAGCCGGGAATAAGTTAACCGCGATACGCGGCGGCGACTTGGACAGTTACCCACTTCTACGGATACTGGATATTTCGGAGAATCGACTAATGGACATCGAGGACGATGCACTCGGTCGTTTGGAGGTTCTCGAGGAATTGGACATTTCTGGTAACGCGCTCGTCAAGGTACCCGGAAGTCTTCCGAGCAGTTTGACGAATTTGAAGCTTCAACGGAACGTGATAACGGCGTTGAAAATCGACGATCTTCAAGGACTGTTCAATCTGAAGACGTTGACGTTGAACGATAACAACATCATCGAGATCGAGGTCGGGGCACTTGGTCAATTACCTGAACTCGAAGAACTAGATCTGTCCGATAACCCCATTAAAACGTTGCCGGCTAACGCTCTGAGTGGACCAAGTAACCTCTGCAAGCTTCGTATGTCGGGACTGACCTCGCTAAAACGGAAGCAGGAAGAGCAAACCGACATGACCTTCCCGGTACCGACGCCAGAAAAGCTCGTGCTCCTCGACGTATCGAGGAGTCCCGCGTTGGCCGAACAGCTTTTAGCGGACGACGCCGCACTGTCCGCCTGCAAGAGCCTGATCGAACTGAACCTCTCACGAGCCAACCTCACCGCACTCAGATTCGATCTGCCTTACATGCTCCCGCAACTGCGTACCCTGGACTTAGGCGGAAATTATTGGAATTGCACGGAGGAGCTATATTGGCTCGGTGAATGGCTGCGACAGCACCAGCAACTGGATAAAGACGTTGAACCGGGTCAATGCGATACTCCCAGGGAATTGTCAGGGTCGTTCCTACGCGAATTACCATCACCGCCGAGTCCTCCTCCTATTACGGTGCCAACCACAACACCTACCGCTTCGACGTTATCGATTCCGGCGCCGGTCGAGCGTGCATCTCATTTTAATAAACTGAACGCGTCTTCCAACGTCACCGACGTCAACGTGGCCAAAGTACTCGCCAACCACATCGATGAATCCATTAACGCGAACGATACCAAGCAGTCCGTGTACATAGGTTCGAATCGAATCGATAGTTACCGCGACACCGGCAACGACTTCGCCAAAAATAAAACGAGCCGCGTTTCAGCGAACAGCACGTTGAATAATGAAACGCAGTTTCGAGAGCCGCCCACCTCGCGCCGAGTCGCAGCCGCCGCCGTAACGACGTCAACCTCGGAGCGGAAAGGTGGAAGAAATTTCAGCAAGAAAGTTATCGAACTTGATCAGATCTCGGCGAAGATTAAAAATTCAATTATAGACGTCGCCGGGCCGTCCGATAGGAAGCGAACGGGCGGGGGCGAACCGTCAATTATTCGAATAGAAGACAATTCGGATTCGGGAACTTTTGATAACCGTATAGATGATAAGAAGCAGAAGAGTAAAGGGTCGGGTAAAGCTGGCGCGTCGTCGACGAGGATCGGTGCCCTCCTCTCCTCGTCGTCGAAGCTATCATCGAAGCAGCTCGCGTCAGTGAGAGGAGAGACGATTGCCGAAAAGAAGACGACCGACGAGAAGTACTCGAAGAAACTGAACAATCTGACAAAAGGAGAGGAGTCGGACTCGCCGGAGCCAGGGAACAGTCCCAATTCAAATACGATAGCGGAGGAATTGAATAGCAGAGCGACCGATTCCGACGCCCGGATCTCCGAGGCTTTGTCCGCCGGCGCTCATCCAGGAATGTTGGTGCTCGCCGGTGCCGCTCTCGGTGCCGCAGCTGCGCTGACGGTGGTGCTGTCGCGAAGAGCCACCGTGCGCCGGAGGGATAGGTATCATCGCCATGAGAACATCGAGGTGCACACGCTGACACCGACCACCGAACTTTGGTGACCAGAGTCTGAATACTCCCGATTATACGACGGAGATAAGCGGCTAGACGCCGGGGAACGTGGCCAAATTTTGTCAATATTATCTCAACGACTGTCGGAGACGCGGCTAACGAACCTTTGCCACTCTTCGAGGAAGGCGTAAAATCGGACTATTTTGTGAACGGGACTTGATATTTGTATTATGATCGTTACCCGAGTGATGACATGCTTAGAGAGAACGGAACTCGGTACAGAATCAAAACTCTTTCAATAAAACATTAAGAAAAAAATTCGATTTCTGATTGTCAACGCTTTTTGGTGACAAATTATTCGACAACGGTTGTACGAAATAAGTGATCGAAATGTACAAAGCTCGAATGGATCGCCTCTAGAAATCTGAAGTACACCAGTTCCCGTATAAGCACAGGAGTTCGGCTTTGTCCGTCGCACGGAAGAAATTCAGCGAAGGAAATCGCTGGATGAAATCTTACGGAGTCGGAGCAGAAGAGGACATCAATCGATACGAATCTCGATCGAGCGAATATACAGCTCGATTACAAGTTTAAGGAAAACAGTTTTCGACCGAAATACTCACTGAACGGAAACTGTTTATTTTAAAAGGACTGGGACGGGATGAAATTACAATCGTGATCAAGAAACCGTTCGTATCTTTCGGTAGCGCTGTGCAGACTGAACACACACACACACACATACAGAGAAAGGCAAATCGCAAGTGGCAATAATTTAAAAAGAACAAAAAAAAAAAAATGAAAAACGCAGTGTCTCGGCACTGCATCGATCTCAGGCGATCGGAACGTTTAATAGCACACAGTGACAATAATAATTGTAACGTGCCGCGTTTCTGAAATGGGACTTTTTTCTCGTCGTACGTAACGTTTAGAACGCTTCCGTGATTGGGCTTAGGAAAGTGTGGCTGTAGGACTAGATACAGGCAGAAGGACATGGTGAGAAAGAGAAGAAGTTTCGTAGGGGTGAGAAAAGAAATTAGTGGAGCACGAGAAACATGTTGGCGTGAAATTCGCAGTGACGAGTCTTACGTTTGAATGACAGTGGTAGACGGGAAGCGAGGACGATTGGTGTCCGGAACAACTTTTATCGAACAGTGCGAGATCGAATGAAAAGAGAAAGGCGAAGGAGTAAGTGCAGACTTTTGGGGAAGTCTTGGGGGAGAAAGTATGCGAGAAACGAAGGCAGAGAATTAAAGAGTAACAGAGTGTGTGTAAGAGAGAGAGAGAGAGAGAGAGAGAAAGAGCGAATTAAAATGAGAGTAAAAGAGTGTGAGAATGAGTGAGAGAGAGAGAAATGATCGCGAGGTGGAACTCACCTCTCAACGGGGCGGTAACACCGAGTGTACAGAAACGTAGCTTCCGAACTTAATTCTGGCGGCTTGGCCAGTTGCCAAGGCTCCTTAACAAACAGTAAGAAACAGAGGATAAGAGTGGAAAGAGAGCAGATAAGAAATAACGAAGAGGCTAGACATTATCTTTCTTAAAATAACCAGTGTCAAAGTACCGCTATGATAATAAACCGATGTACAAAGATGCAATCATCTACCATTTTTTTATCACCTCTACGCTAATTACTTCTATATTTTCTATGCTTGCTAGATTTAATTATTTCCCAATTAGAACATTTACAAATAATGAAGGATTGGTCTTGAAGGGGGAAGAATATCAACGTTGAAAAATCAGTAAGCTTTCCTTTTAAGAAAGATAATTCGAAGATTGATGACTGTGAAATGCAGGTAAGTTAATCAATTTCTTTCTATTTATATCCGTTTTCCATCCATATATTTCATTTATATCCGTTCAACTGTACCGCACAATTTATTTGATTCATATTATCTGGATGTCAGAAATTTCATCGCAATGCCTGACACGATGAGCAAATTTCCTTTCATTTTACGACACATAAATTCACATCTCCATGTTGATGCTTTTCAATTTAAGTATGTCCAACAGATTAAATTGCATGCTGCCTATGGCTACCAACTATAGTACATCAATTTTCTCATGTCAATTGTCATACCCATATTGTATTAACCATCGTATCATACAAAAATCCAATTATCATTTCCTGTCATAGATACACATCCGACAAACAGAATGTAATAATCTCAGCAAGTAGTTATAGGGAGAAATTAACTTAACTGGCAAACAGAATAATTAACCGTTCTTCGAAAATGAATACTTAAAATCCGCGATTAATCATCTCAACGTGAAAATGAGTTCCGCTGCGGAATTAATCAAGACCACTATTATGTTAATCCATCGCGTGACGGTGTACGGTGTTGCAGCTGACAAAGTGTACGTCCACGCGCAAATAGTTTCCCCGACAAGCGGCAGTAATACGTTATTGGTTGGCGGCGCGAAAATGGGAAGAGGCATCGAAGGGAACTGTCGGAAAAAAGATCGACAGCTGTCGGGAAAACCTGAGCCCTTCGAGATAAGACGGTATCCGCTTCGACTCAAGCTACAAGGATTTCACGCTTTCAGTCATTTATCGAGCAAACAGATTTCCTGCATCTACCGCCGGGCTCGTCTTACTGTTCAATAAAAACTCTTCCACGAGAAACGAGAGGATGTGAACAAGTTACTTCGAAATCTGTCAGTCACCTTTCCTTAGACTTCATTTGATCGATTCATACATTAATGCTATTCTTGTCGACAATTTCAAGATTATTAATAAGTTTGTAGAAAGACTAAACGATAGTTATTTCTGACGTATTCTAGTAAACTTAGTATGTATTACTACGTACAGTGATTTTATTCACCGTTGTACATACCTAATCAATTTCTGAAGTGCGAAGTTCTTTACGGTTTCCGTCACCCACTTGTTTTTATTTGCGCATTCCTCGTACAATTGCAAGAACAGAACACGACAATGAACTCCCGAAAAAAGAAATGTCTTTCACTAATTCTATCTTATACGCGTAGGAAATAACATAGACCAAACGAGCGTGTAATCGAATTGCTATTCAAGTCGCGCGGATTCCCAATAAAATTGGTGAATCTTCTAAAGAATAGTTAGTAGACGTCAACGTCGTTTGTCCTTCTAATTTGCTCGATCCAGTCTTTCGCGGGAAAGATAAGTGTAGCACCGCGACGTGGAAGAATTCCAGATATTTTCAATTCAATGTACCAGCGCTGGATGGCGTTTCGCGACGAGACTCGGCTTCATAAATTTCGATTTGCAAGAAATTAGAAAGGGAAGGCGACGCGACGAACGGAGAGGAACGGAGAACGCGCGAGTGAAAGTTTAATTCTCCCTGTCTTAATCTCAGTAATTTCATCCCCGCGAAAGTTCCGTTCCGCAACGAATGTTAATCGGGTTGTTCGCAGCACCGCCGACACAAAAGCGATAAGCAGAAAACCTACTTACATTCCCCCCGCCCCCGACGAATCAGATAACGTTACCCCGTTACGGATGAACGTTGAAAGGAACGGCGCGCTGCGCGATGTGCCGCGCGGCAAACGAGGACGTCGAAAATACAAGGCTATAAAATCACGAGCGACTTTGAAGGAACGTAAATGTTACTACATGAATAATTCGCGGCGAGCGTTTCCCGGTCTCGCAGCCCGCGGCTGAATTTCCTGAAACATGGTAACGAGACCGCAACAGGGAAAAACGATATTTAGGTGGGGCCGGGAAAGCAGCCGGCGCGATTCGCCGAGATGAAGGGAACGAGAAAGAGGGAAAGAGGAGGAGAAAACGAACGAGAAACCGTTCCTTAAGCCCTTGTTTAAATTTCCTATGGAATAACCCTTCGCGGCAGTGCAACTAGGAAATTTAATCACCGTATAGCGGCTCTCGGCTCACCCCGGGCTACGGAACTGGCAAATTCAGTAACATCTTGCAGAAGTTCGTTATCCGTACCGCCCACCATTCCCCGCGTACCCTCGCGTTCGATTCCGGTTTACCCAGACGCCGCGCCGCTGCTATTTCGCAATATTGACTTCATCGATGAAAAACAGAAACCAGTTTCCAAACTTATCTGCATTCCCGGCCCTGTACCCTCCTCTAGCCTACCGATTGCCTACCCTTTCGCCGAGTTCTAATATCGTGGCAACCGGATGGATTTAGTTGTTGCAAGGAATGCTTTTGTAAGTGGAGTTAACATAAATCCAGGTAAGTGCGATGGTTAAATGGCAATTTAAGTTGGGAGAGACCGAGGTAGCTAGATAGGTATGCGCGTGAAGTTGAGTAAAAACTAATTAGGTAGTTACCGTATCAAATTAATCTTTTTGCCAATGCAACAATTTGCCGATGAATAAAATATACTTATTTCTACCAAACGTATCAGAAATACGTATTTAAAAGAACACAATGTAATTTCTTACAATTTTACTGAGAATACATAATGAATTACATGGCGCACCTTCCATCGAATACTCTCACTCTCATCCCCTGCACCTACTTTCTCGCCCTGATCTCTTCTTTAACGAGCTAACTATTTCCTCGTCGGCGAGTCAAACGTTCCCTATATCAGCGAAGTTAAATACGACACCAGCTCTAAACTAATTATTCAGGATACCTCAATTAATCCTCGTTTACGGGTAGAAAAACCGGAGAGGAAGGCTGTTTGATTTGCCACTATACTGTACGAAATTCTGTCACTAATAAGGGAATTAATCAATTTATTATTGAATTCGTGGTTTCCAAATTTGAGAGATTTCGACATTATCCGATTGCTACATGTTTTATGTACTAACAAATTCTCTTCCGATTGGACAATGCTTTTAGTTCAAAATGTGTCATGAAATAATCAAAAATTATTACGAGCATTTGGAAGATTACAATAAATCAATATCCAATCAAAAAGACTTTTACATCAATTTTGAATTCATCCCGCAAATCACTAGCTAATGATAAATAACGCATCCCTCTTCGACGATAAATCTGTAAAATCCAGTCCACGGTACAGCTTAACCTTATCGTTTATCACAAGTAAATCTGGATCAATTACTCAAGAGTATGCCGTGTAAATCAGCTCTGTTGATGCATCTCCCTTCGAACAGAAACACTGGCCGCTGTTGATGTTACAAGGACTCATGGGAAACGTAAGTTCGGAGCTGACATTGATCGGGAAGCAAGCTTTATGATAGGGCCAGGGTCCTCGAACAAGGAAACCAGCTTTCTCCCATGGACGTCGGTATCAAGGTGAACTAGGTTTACACAGCGAAGAGGTGCAAGAGAGAGACTCTCTTCATCTCATCTCCAATGTCCGCAAACCGACCCCAGGTGGTCGGGGGGTCGGCCCTTGAACGCCATCCGCAGCTCTTTTAATTCGATCGTCCCTCATCCCGAGAATCCAAGGGGGAACCGACGCGATGTGCGAAAAATCTCGGCTACTCCCGTCCGATTAAACTTATAATCGAAGCGTCTGACACGCGAGCTTATCGAATCCCTGGTATTTCCCCGACAACGCGCGAGGAAATTCAGTTTCAGACGTATCGCGAGATATAACTGATTTATTGCCGGCTGCCGTCGGTGAAGAGTCACGCGAATCCCGAAACGACAGATTTTATTACACGGTTCCATGACTAATGCAATTTCCGAAAAGAATAATGCGAGTTTTACCGAAATAAATTTATAAAGAAATGTGTCTCTCAAATTGAATGATTAAATAAATCGTTTTTGGTAATCGATACTCATTTCTTTAAAGTCAGATTAACCTAATGAAAAAGTTCAAAATTGCAAACCGAGAAGAACTACATTTAAGAACAAATGAATGCTTCGCACATGATTTTAAAAGTGTTCAAAAAATAATTCGCGAGGTTGACGTAGATTTGAGCAATTAGCAAGAGAAAAGAAACAAAAAAGCAGAGAGAGAAACGCGCCAGACGTTGCAGGAGAAAAAGAGAGAGCAAGAGTAAAAGGGAAAGGAACAAAGTGCTGTTGCAATTAAATGTTCATTAAAGCTACATATATGCAAGAACTCTCTGTAGGGAAAAATCAGTGAAACGTGCAACGCCGGCTGAACGTTATAATTTCCACAATTTTCCGGCGTTACATTTAGGTGTGCGCGACAGGAAAATATCCAAGACACAATTTTCATTATAAAATATGTATATCCTATGACAAACATTTCAATTAAAATTATGTCCGATTACGTGTGACGAGAGGAAATATTAAAATTGACAAATTAATTGGCAAAACTACTCTCAAAATAAAACATCTCATCATGAAATTAATTAAAAAATTCTCTGTGTGTAAGAATTTGCATATGACATAATTAAATAAGACAAACATACTAATAATATTATACTGATTTTTATTTGCAACTGAAGTTTCCTATAGACAAAACTATTTGTATTAGACAATTTTATATAATTCATTTTTATTTTCGATATATAATTCATTCGTTCATAATATCTGAATTTATTTGCTTTCACGTAATTCGTGCGTTGATTTCGCTAAACAAGAATGATCATTTTCACGTTAACGACGTCGTTTATTTCTTATCAACGACGACGCGACGCGAAGCAAACAGTACTCTCTGGCATTCCTCCGTAACGCGAACCCTTTCTGCACGAGCTATTTGCA